GTTTTTTTTTTTTGTTTTTTTTTTTTTTTTTTTTTAATGCCACCGTCAAATGATCAAATAAAACAACGTTCACAATTAACTAATTAATTACATTATAGGTTGAGTGACGAGGTCATATCAAAACAGTCAAAGAAAGTCGCAACAGAACAGGCTGATAAAAGACTAGAGATAGGAACTGGGTATAACGCTAATGACAACGGCAGGAAAACATATACCAAAAAGGAAACTCATACGAGCAGTGTAAAGAAATTAGGGCTGCTGTGTCTTTCAACACAAACTTGTAGGTATTGGGAAAGCCATAATTCATTATGGGCGACGCGAAATTCCCGCTCCATATTTATTCGGGAAACTTGAAACCATCCCGCATCAGTGATGTGGAAGCCGAAGTTTTGGTTGCCCATGCCTTTAGAGATATGACAACGATCTCCCAGGCCATGGAAAGCGATGTAACTCCCATCCCAACTGTGAAGACAATCATTGCATTGACCTCATAATACTCCATGGCTGCGACAATATCCGCGGTCTATACGGTCAAGTTAGCATATGTCAACTGGTCTATAGTTTGATATAGTTGGGGGAAGCAAGAAATTCCGACACGGAGGAATGCATACACTTAGCATGAAAACAAGTCCGCCTGATATAAGACAGAATGAGGTGACCAACTCTGAGGGTGGCCGGGAAGGAAGAATCGAGCTTGGTGGGTTGATATAGAGCAGGATATATGTGACAGCGCGTGCTAATGAGAACCCCACCAGGAGCATCCCCCACTGCGTGTGAACCATAGTCGACACCATACTATGTTGGTGGTGGGAACTCATCATTAAGCCCAACAACAAGATTACTGTTGCAGGCATAGGGTTGAGAGATACTCCTTGGGACCTCGGCGGCCGCCATTCGTCCGCACCTGACGGGTATTCTTTGTCAAGAGCAATTGGAGATGGTCCCAAAGCAGTCTGATTTATCCAGTCACGAACTCGACGAGATTCAGCCAACATTCCGCACTGATTGCTCATTGTCAGCCGGAGTGTTCAAAAGCACAGTTCAAAACAAGAAAACCTACCAAGCCGCCGCCAAAAAACATGATGGTTATTGAAACATGTTCAAGATCGTGGGCCGTCCATGGTCCTCCCCACCCACCAAGATGCTCCAAAAACATGTTGCTGGCTCCATATAAGAAAATAACAAACGATTCTGTGAATTCTGCGGTTGGTATTCTTGACTTCCAACCCCCTACGATGGCACGTGATGGCTTCACATTCCATGCCCATCCGAAGTCTGCAAAGCAACCAAGCCACCGACCTAGAGTCAAGAATCCATACCACATGAAAATCCCGCCTTTGATGAAATGCGCCAGTCCGTTGAAGATTTGTCGTCCGCGCTAGGTGTCACACACCTGTTAGCCATCAAACGCCCACGTCATGGGGAAATATCAGCTGTACTTACGAAAATTCCAGTATAAACAACAGCACCCGACGTAAGGGCGAAGAATCCAAGGATCAGGATCGTCCTCTCAACGATAGTGTGGATCAAAGTCAATGCACTGAGGACACGCTGCGAAGTCAGCTGAGGAACACGAGCTGTCAAATATCTGTCGAGAGACCCGAATGGAGATAGCCGTTGACAGCTAGGTTTATTGCTTGCTTCGAGGTTTGGTATCGCCATGTCCTCAGCTTCCCGTCTGTCATGTTCAAAGGAGCTACATCCGCTACGGGGGGAATACGTGTGCTCGTCGCTGCCTTGACCGCTGTCTGCAGACCACCGAGTTTGCCGATTGGTATCCCGAGAATAAGAGTCATTTCTGCCTGAATTGGTATCAACAGAAAGGAAGGCAACTCTTTCGTATGCATTATCTCGCGCATGGCTTTTGCCGTTGGAGTATGCGAGAAGTAGCCCCATCACAACCTCCGCAACCATGACCCATGTAGCCACCCATCCTATCTTGGTATGCACATTGTGTTCATAAAGATCGGGAGTTTGGTTACTGTATATGATGCCGCATAATACGGCAACAGCATTGACGACCAAGAAACCAAACTGAGTTGGCAACGCGAGTCGGGACTTTGATACACTAAACACAACACCTTTTCACGAAGAACAGATTCCAACCGTTAGCTACGCAACAAGCTCTCCTGGATCTCGTCAAAATTATAATCGGAGATCTCTTACCTACTGGGAGGATAACGACCCAAGCTATAGCCATCAACACGATATGGGCTAGGATCGTTCCCGAATGTTTCTGGTATCTAAAATAGCTCATCAGATGAGCTGTGTCTCCAGCAGTCATGGTCGCCGTCGCCGCCGCGGCTGGTGCTACAGATGATGTCGTTTCGGTCGCTCCCGCCATATGCATTGACTCGTGGCCATCACCATGCGGTATCGCGCCCGCTACTGTCGCGAGAAACAGTAGCAAGGGAGCATAGGAGGTGTGAGTCGTGAGGTGATGCGGCAACATTTGGAAGAGTACTTTGAGAGAGCAACCCAATTCGGCAGCCTAGGATGCTTTGTAGGAAAAGCTTCTCCTGTGGGCAGAGCTTGATATATGACTATTTATATACACGATTTGAAACTGCAGGAGCAAATGTTGCAGCTTATGACACTCGGGGAAGGAGCCTGGTACTAAGGGGAGGAAGCAAAGGGACATAAGGAAAGCACGAAAGAGCAGGAAGCCGCGTTAAGGGAGGGCCGGCCATGTGCCCTTTGTTATAAACTATTTATTCCTGGCGCCTTGCCTGACATCCGTTCTTCATGAAGATCAAGGCGGGCTGACAAACGCACGAAACGGTCGGCCGCCGGAAGAAGAGGATCCCAGAAGGACCCAAGCTTCGGAGTTAAGTGCAATATTCTTTCTGACAAAAACTGAGAACAACTTATGACGAAATGTGGTTGGAGAACTTTATGCATCAGCTTAGAGTTGATATGCATGATAGGCTGGCCAGGCCATGTACGAGGTACGAGGTACGAGAGGCCCTTGTTCAAGCTGTCAACTCTAACGCATTTCCTGACGAGTCCGCTGCGCAGTTAAGAGACGTAAGATGTTGTGCCTTCCCCCGTCTTACTGCGTATTCCTCTTTGCTCGGTTCGCCATTTTCACCGCCCGGAGCCACTTGGCCACGCTGCTTGGACATGAAGCGCAGGCTCCATACATATGCATGACTTCAGCTGAATCGCTTCCAGGTTGTACCGTGGTTGCTCATATCTCCACAGGACGGGGTGGGGAACAACATGGAAGTGGGAAGGAAAAAGCAACGGTGACCCTCTCGCTGCTCCCTTTGCAAGGCTCAACAAACGCCTTATTTCCACCGCCGAAATACTTATAAGCGACCAGCCAAGAAGAGACCCTTTGGCTATAACAGAATGAGCGCTCTGCACAGGGTACGTCCGTATAGAACAACTCCGCTTGAAGGGAGACAGTGAGAGTAGTTCTGGGGGTCAGTGATGTTCTCCGGATGGCCGGCAACAGGATGAGAGCCATCTCGAAAATTTTGCATGAACTAATAAGTTAGTTGGGCCTATGTGACTTGGGCCGGACGAAAATTACCGACATCCCGAGGGGATTTTGGGATTTCAAAACAAGCCAAGTATCCGTGAAGTACTTTTTTACGTATTTGAAACCGGAGAGTGACTTAAGAAGTACTTCACTGCTTTTGTCTTTCTGGTCCCGCTTATCTAGCCGGCACATCCGCCAGAATTATTAATTTTATACGCAGCCCAAATACCAAACAACTCCCAGCCCGGAGCGTACGCTCCGCCCGTGCTCCAGCCATTACCAACTCTCTACCGAGGGTGTCGATGAATCCGTCCCCCGATGATCCGATGACTCTCACTTATGGGATGAAGCTAATCAAACCTCTCCTTTAGTTCTCCGATTTAGCCGATAGCAACGAAAAGATCGACTATTCAATTCGATATGAGGTAGTTAGAACTAGCCAAAATAGGCTGCGTAGCCCAATATTTCGGGCATTAGATTCATTATTTCGGTTGTGGTCCCTCCTAACTATCATTGGATGATGTATCGGTTGTATGTACCTCCAAAAATTGTGCATTAAATCGCATCGTGGCCGTCTCATTTCTTTTTTTCCCCTGTTAACCAATTAGTTATTAATATAGGGATGTTTATTCACGGCCCTGGTCATCTAAGTAATAAAAGAATCGCAATCCCTCAAAGCCCACGAGTAGCAGAGACTTATGTCAAGTTATAGATAATCAATGACAAATTATTATAGTATTAAGTCGACTGGACCGTCCAATTAACCAATCTACACCACTTCCTGCTTCTCTGATAACTTGTTAACCAGTTGTCGGCTAACTAGTCAATTGAATGCATGAACTCTATCGAAAGAGCTACCCGACGTCTTCATATCATCAATAATTCGCCCCCGGCTACGCAGTCTTCATCTGTTATTTCAGATTAAGTACCTGCAAAGCGATATCCAACGAGTGGAGGAGAGATAGAAAGAGAAAGAAGACTACTCTGCATGTTGCGAGGATACCTCGGACTGCTACTACTTATCTAACTACTGCTTGCTAGGATTTTTTGTTCCCAATAGTCAAAATGCCACCGAGATGTTAATAAAATTAGGGTACGAATGAGCTCAAGCAAACCTTCGATTTCTCGCAGATAGTGGTTAATCAAGCACATCAAGTATTAGACCTTCCGGGGTGCTCCGGCCACTAAGACAGTTAGAACGGAGGAATCTTATTGAAACTGAGAATCCATGGAGCCACTGTCTGTGTTCACATCAAGATGTGTCTAACAAGATCCAACCTGAAGACATCGATGTGCTAGATTTTCTCTCCTAAGCTAAAGACATGATTGGATTGAAGTGTAGACTCGTATGTCCAATAGTAGCCCGTTGGTAGAACCATTGTATTTGAGCCTCATTCTTATTTTTATTTTTATTTTATTTTTTTATTGGAAAGGATAACTGTCTACAATATCAAACCATAACTGCCCTACTCTCCCCATAAACATCGGTCTTCGAATATGTCGTAAGGCCGGGCGGTTAATTCGCTACCATTGTGACTTGGATAAAATTGCTCTGCCGCCCATGAGAAGACGATGGTGAGAGAATCTATATGCCGGTGAGGCTTTTCCTCAAAATCTCTCCAAATTAAACCATTTTTCCACTTAGCATCCGATTTATATCCAGGATTATAACCTTCCGCATTCCTTTGAACAATATCCCTGGAATCCACCAGCAGACTGGCGACCGTATGCTCATGTTTGGCAGCATAGTTGAGTATATCGTGCTGTCCAAAATCATGATAGTATTTAAAGTATCGTATAGAGTCTGATAAGAAATATAAGGTAGCTAATAGTAGGTTTACCACTCTCCTTGTTAACTCACAGACACTTTCCTTACAGCGTCAAACTGGAGATGGCATGGCTCAGGATTCACAAGTAGGAAGAACATAGCCTAGTATTGCTTCACCTGCTTCTTGAGTAACCAAAATATATAATCACCCTAAACTTCCCAACATCCCTAAGCAACGAAAGGTATGGGATTGTTTGCTTCAAGACGCAGCAGCTGTTTGACGGGTATCTCTAGACGAAGGGTAGACGGACATCGTGAAAAGCACGGGCGTCATCTTAACGATAAAATATACCGCTTGGATACCGATGGAAGTAAAATATATTAGGCTAGAATAAGGTTCATGTCTTCCCACTTGTATACAGGTAAAGCAACCTCCGTCAGTTGTAGTCAGGAAGCGTGAAAATAAACATCGTCGAGGTTGGAGGCTCCTCGAGAGTTTTTTTAAAGTGGATTCGAGTTTACCGCTCGACGGGACCCGGACCTTCCATTAACGGCCCGCTCTGGAAATACTTTATTCCTTATTTTGACATCCAGCAGGATCTTAGGGCGGTACGTAACTACCTACCAGGTAGAAAAGATTAATCCTGCGTCTTGGGTCTCGCTTTACCATCAATAAATATTCTTGAACTAATATCAATGCTGTCTATATAGTGCAATAATAAGATCAAATACCCCTTCGACGGACTTCGTCAAACTTGGAAATCGAAGCATCAAACTCCTCTTTACTGGCCTTTGTCGAATCCAGCTCTGAAACATCTGCTGGGGTGGAATGCGTTTAAAAGAAAAACAGAAATCACCACAAACACGCTCTCCATACCAATGAACAATCCTTCGTTAGATAGCAGCGGGCCATCCCATCCTTCAGACAATTCCGCAATCCGATAAATACTTCGTACATATATGCAAACTGTCGATCCTGCTAGAGACAGCAGAAAGAGTTTGAACTGGGAAGATGATCGAAGGTGGGAATAATTTGGATCTAACGCAGCATTCCCCAAGGCACGGATGCGATTGTAGGTTCTAAAAGCGAAGTCCGCAACCAGTCCCATGAATACAGTCAACGTAATGACCTGAATCACAAGACCAGCTACCATAATGTCTTTCCCTAAGTCAGCTTGCGTCCGGTCATTGTCTCCCGCGGTGCTGGCAATTCCACCGCCGGCACCTTGGAGAGCCAGTGCAAGGATATCGCAAGGAATAAAAATTCGGGGATACCATCGTGGGCGGATTCTGGAGTTTTCGGGGCCAAAAGCAGTCACGATCCGGGATAAGGTGAAGTATATACCAGCGGCAAGGAACGCAGGCGCAAGAGTAAGGCAGCATATTTGAATCATAAATGGAATCTACCTCATATACGTCAGTGATCCATTTTTCCATATTTTCCAAGGTAAACAAGGAGATTCATTGAAGAAAGATTCGGTAGCTATACCTGTTTCCATGGATTATCCCACATCATAATTCTGCCTATATACCCAATCGTCTCACCTAGGGTTCCCAGGACCATGGCAATGGTAAAGCCAAGAAATCGTCTCGTTGTGAGTCCTTGGATGATGAAAATGACGGCAGAGATGAAAAACAGAGCTGTAAATGTCGCATTTGCCGGCAAGGATGGTCGGTACTTATACCACGAAAGAGAGATGTCACATATAGCAAAGGTACATAACTCTCTATCAAAGACCTGTTCCCGGGCCGCAATGGGTGTGATTGCTGAAATGGCACTAGTCATCTTGAAAGAGACTGTATATAAAATCCCAACACAATATTAATTGCTTTCCGGTGTCTGTTTTATGGAAGGGAGTTTAGATTTCTGTCAATGGCTCTGGTTCTCCAGGACTATGGCGCGGTTTATATAGTTCCCTGAAACAAATACACGTCCGCTCGGCAGGCTGGTGCAGAAATCACACTTTACGGCAAGACACGAATCTTCGGGGGGAAGCGAGGGATGGCAAGGCCCCTTCCGTGAGCCCCT